GTTTAGGGCTGTTGTACATAGGGTCGCTATGAGTCGCAGTCGACTCGATGGCACATAACAACAACAATATGTACCACATACAATGTTGCGGTGCCTAATTTGCCAGTGTCATCAGTTCATATGTAATATTTCCAAACTTTATGAAGATACTGATAATAAAAGGCAATAATAGCTTAAAAATATAATAAGGTAGGAAATTTATGTCAGAATCAATTTACAATAAAGTTGTTAGAATAGAATCCCCCTAGAAGTCAGGGATGACCTACACACACACACACGATAGTGGTGTTGGGTGTCATCAAATCAACTATGATTATGACTCATAGCTATTGTCTAAACTACAGATCTAAATCTATGTCATTGTTATTGGTGTCACTGAGTTCAGTATGACACATAGAAACTTTCTGAATAGCAGATCTGAACTCTGCCTTATCCTGCACTATCCTCATCATCCCTAACACACATGAGCATACCTGCTGCAGACACTGTATCAATCAATCCCACTGAGGGTCTTCTCCCTTTTACTGACCCTCCGCCTTTTCAAGTATTATGTCCCTCTCCAAAGAATGACTCCTCTTAAAATACGTCCAAAGTATGTGAGATGAAGCTTTGCCATCCTTGCCCCCTAGGAACACTCTGCTTGCACTTTCTCCAAAACATACCTCTTTTACTAATCATTGGGTCCAAATTTCATTGCAAATTGACTAATAGACTTTACTCACAGTAGTAGGGTTTATTAGGAAAATAGGTTGGGGAGTCAGGGAGGCAAGGAATATCATATAATGAAAGGCGAGGTTTAGTCCTGAAGTGTCAAACAAGAGTAATAACAAAACACAATTTCTCAATAAGTTCAGATAGCTTCTTGATCAACAAGTGAAAAGTGTAGGTTCAGTTTAGCAGCATATATAAACCTCTGGTTTCCAAAAGCATCTCAGAGCTGTTACTAGCCAGCTTTACCATCAATCACCCTGTAAGCAAACCTTTAGCTGTGGCTTCATCTCCAGGGACCCTCTGGTTACAACTTTCCACAGCCTCCTTACAGCAGTGCCAGTCTTTTCACCATCTGCCATAGTTTATTCACCCTATCTTCACCACCATTTTTCACAGTGTGGAAAGTGCTCTCATATTGGTCCCACAGCTGTTGATGATTTTCAAGACCATGTGTCTGCAGTTAAGGTAACTGGAGACCATTCCTCCAATAGAGGCTAATGCAATGGTTAGAAAAGTCAATTTTCAAAGTTTCTGACACCACAGATCCATATGGTCAAATTCCTTTCCATAGTTAATAAAACCGAAATAGACAGTCTTCTATAGACATCTAAACCTATCATAAATATAATAAAGGATATATAGTCATATGAAATCAAATATGCAATAAAGATTCATTATTAATAATAAGTAGTGACTGGAATGCAAAAGTTCAGAACAAGGTAAAAGAACCAGTAATTGGAAAACATAACTTGGTCACAGAAATAAGGCTGAAGATATAATTATAGAATTTTGTACAATCAAAGATTTATTCATTGCAAAAATATTTTCTAAAAAAACACAAATCGTAACCATACCTATGGACAGATTTATTATATCTGTTGAAAGAATCACTGGATAAGTTAAATATCAGCTAAGACCAGGCCAGTTGCAAACTGTGGAAAAAACTATCACGTAGTCATGTGCAAATTCAAATTGAAGCTAAAAATAAAAATAAAAATAAAATAAACCCCAAAATATGACCTTGAGCCTATTCCACCTGATTTTAAAAACCATCTCAAGAACAGGTTTGAGGCACTAAACATTAATGAATGAGGACTAGATGAGCTGTGAGATGACATCAAGAATATCATTAATGAAGAAAGCAAAAGGTCATTACAAAGAAGAGGGAAAAAAGACCAACATGGATGTCTGATGAGATTCTGAATATTGCACTAGAATCCAAAAAGCCAAAATAAAGTGAAGAAATCAGGATGTTAAAGAGTTGAACAGAAGATTTCACAGGGCAGCTCATGAAGACAAAGCAAAGTATTATAATGAAATGTGCAAAGAGGTGGAGTCAGAAAATAAAAAAGGAAAGAACCTACTCAGTGTTTCTCGGGCTGAAGGAACTGAAGAACAAATTTAAGCCTCAAGTTAAAATACTTAAAGATGCTATGGGCAAAATATTATATTATCCAGGAAGCATAAAAAGAAGATGGAAAGGAATATACAGAGTCCTGTATCAAAAAGGAATTGGCTGACTCAGAACCATATCAGGAAGTAGCATATGATCAAGAACCAATGATGACAAAGGAGGAAGTTCAAGTTCCTCTGAAGGAACTTGCAAAACATAAGGCCTCAGGTAGGATACCAACTGACATATTTCAACAAATAGATGTAGCTTTGGATGTGCTCATCAGATTGTGCCAAGAAAGCTGAAGGACAGCTATCTGGCCAACTGATTGGAAGGGATCCATATTTATTCCCATTACCCAAAAGGTGATACAAAAGAATGTGGAAATTATCAAACAATATCACTAATGTCACATGCAAGCAAAATGTTGTTGATGATTATACAAAAATAACTGTATCCATACATCAACAAAGAACTGCCAGAAGTACGAACTGGGTTTTATAAAGGCCATTGTACTAGAGATATCACTGCTGATGTCAAACAGATCTTAGCTAAGAGATTATTAAAGGATGTGGGTTTGTGGATTTTGTGGTTGTTTTTTTTTTAAAAAAATTTATATTGACTTGCTTACAAAGTTCATATACGATGTTTTCACACTACCTTTCACTCACATTTTATCATACAATCATTCCCATTCATTATGTTTTCTAAAATTAATCACCATTGGACTATGCCCATCCTTACCCTTGTCTTTTCAGGTCCCCACCAGATTGTTCTCATTTCCTTTACCTCCTCCTTTTCCCTCCACCAACCAAATTGTGCATCCCTGTGATTCTACCTCTACCCATCCTCATCCCTCAGCTCCCACCCCTTCCCTTCTTGGATTCCCATACATGTTTTACTAGTTATCTATTCAGTAATGGTCTTCTGCAGTATTTGTCCTTGTGAAACTGAGTTAGTTCACTCAGAATAATGCTATCCGTTCCCTTCCAACTTATGTAGTATTTTTTTAAGTGTTGCATAGTATTCCACTGTGTGAATGTACCACACATTTGAGCTGTTTCCATGTTCTTGCAATAGTGAATAATTCTGCAGTGGACATTGGTGTACAAATCTCCATTTGTGTCTCAATTCTAGTTTCCCTGGAGAATATTCCTAGCAGTGGAATAGCTAGGTAATACTGAGTTTCTATGTTCAGCTTTCTGAGGAAATGCCAAAGTGTCTTCCACAGTGGTTGTACCAGTTTATAATCCTACCGACAGTGAATTAGAGTTCCCACTTCTCCACATCCTCTCCAATATGTATTGCTTACTGCCTTGCTAAACTGCCACTGCTACTGAGGTGAAATGGTATTTCATTGTGGTTTTGATTTGCATCTCTCCTATTGCCAGTGATTTTGAGCATTTCTTCATGTGTCTGTTTGACATATGAATATCTTCCTCTGTGAAAAGTCTTTCCACATCTTTTGCCTATTTTGTAATTGGGTTATCAGTCTTTTCTGCTGGTGCTCCATAGTATTCTGTAAACTTCTGATGTGAAACCCTTGTCTGAGATGCTATTGTCAAATGTAGTTCCCCCTTCAACAAAATGAATTGACACAGTGCCTTCAGCAATGAATTATAGTGTATCAGAGATGATGAGACTAACACAGGATAGGATGGGGTTCAGGTCAGCTGTATACAGGGCCACTATGAGTCATACTCAACTCGACAGCACCTAGCAAAACAACATACACACACATATAGTTTTGTGTATATATACACATAATAAATATATATAAATACAAATACACACACACATAGGGAACTCTGGTAACCTACTGGTAAAAGGCTGAGCAGCAATCTGAAAAGCAAGCAGTTCAAATCCACCAGCTGTTCTGCAGCAGAAGGATGGGCAATCTCCTCCCATGTGATTAACTAACTGCATCTGAAAACCCACTGGAAGGTCAGCTAGGAGTCTGACTCAATGGCATACAATAACAATATACACAAACACAAATACAAACATATATACAACTATGTATATATAACTTGTATAAGTGTGTAACTTATATGAGTGTGTAATTTCCCCAAATCTTTCTTTTCTTTCTTTACATAAGCTATAGATGAATTAACCACTATAAACCTGGACCAAATAGAATTTATAGTCAAGCCAAAAGTGCATAACCAAGAGAGAGAACAACAGAGATAGGGCAACAAGAGAAAAAAAGGATAGTAGAAGATATAAGAGATAGGACTTATTACAAATTATTAAAAATACTTCATGGTTTTGAAATATTATTTTCATCACAAATAAAGTCTATCAGTGTTTTACTCTTAGTTTTTTAAAAAACAGCTTTTGAAAATATGGCAATATCTTCATCATTACTAATTCTAAAATAAATACAAACTCACTTCATCTGCTTTCACTGAAGCCACTGCCAACTCCTTCTCCTTCACTGCGAGATCCTGAGAGAGCTTAGCAACGGACTCACTTGCCTCCATCAGTTTATCAAGACCTTGAAAACACACACACACACTACTGCTGAATGCATGAATACATATAAGAACTATAATAAACATGAGATTATCCTTTATAAATAAAATCTTTAAAATATCCATACCTTAGGAGCAACAATACTGACCATATTACAGAGAGTTTCAACAGAGAGTTAGGGAGCTCTAAGTGAAGGGAATTTACCTGCTTTAAAAAGAACATTACAATACTATATTGGATAAGATACTCTTAGCCAGGAAACATACACTTTCCTTGCCTTTTTATTGCCTACTCCTCACACCTCTGCCTTGCTCCCTCCTTTTGCCTGCCCTCCCCTGCACTCTCTCTTTGGCTTTGTAAATAGTTTTTAACTATCATTTTTGCTTTAAATTATATCATACCTGAAGTGGCAATGAGGTTGATAATATATGGACATTTTTGTAGTTATTTTTGTTATGAAAATGAAAATAACTGCTAAAATGTGTATGATTGGCTTGTGATATTGGATTGTTGTTATGATTGTTAGGTGCTGTCAAGTAAGACTCAGAGTGACCCTATGAACAAAAGATCTGAACCCTGATCTATTCCATGCTATCCTTACACTTTCTGACACACAAAAGCCCATTGCAGTAGTCATCATGTCAATTCTCCTGGTTGAGGGTCTTCCTCTTTTTTGCCAACCTTCCACCCTTCCTAGTGTCATGTCCTTCTCCAAGGAACAGTACCTCCTAGCAACATTTCCAAAGTATGTGTGGCAAAGCCTCATCATTCTTGCCTCCAAAGAGCAGTCTGGCTGCACCATCTCCAAGACATATCCAATTTTTCTTCTGGCCATCCATGGGGTGTTCAATGCTCTTCTCAAGTATCACAGCTTAAAGTTGTCAATTCTTTTTTTGTCATCCTTATTAACTGTTCAGCTCTCAGATGCATAGCAAGAAATAGGAAAGACTATGGCCTGAATTAGACACAGCTTAGTCCTCAAATTGATATCATTACTCCTCATTAATTTGGATAGGTCCCTTACTACAGATTTTCCCAGTGCAATAAATCTCCTTATTTTCTGCTGGCACCAAGGATGTTAACTGTGGATCCAAGCAAGATGAAGTTGTTGACAGTTTCAGTCTCCTTTCCATCCATCATGACATTGCCTACTGGTCCAGTGGTAAGAATCTTTGTTTTCTTGACAAAGATGCAATGTCATACTGAAGGATGCACTCCTTGATCTTAAAAAAGTGCTTCAAGTCCTACTCACTTTCAGCAAGCAAGGTTGTGTCATCTGCATAATGCAAGTTATTGATGAGTTTCCCTCCAATTCTGATGCCACACTGTTCTTGACAGAGTCCAGCTCTTTGGATAATTTGCTCAGCACACACACTAAAGACATATAGAGAAAGAACATAACTCTGATGCACTCCCTGATGAATTTTAAACCATGCAGTATTCTGCTCTGTTTGCACAACAGCCTCCTGCTCCAAGTATAGGTTCCAGGTATTGGGGTGGACTCTGGTTCAGATCATCAATTACTCATATGCAAGTTCAAATTGAGGCTGAGGAAAATTAAAACAAATCCAAAGGAACCAAGATATGATTTTTAATCAATTAATCTGAACTTCAAGATCATCTCAAGAATAGGCTTGAGGCATTGAACACCAGTGAACAAAGAACTGATGAGTTCTGGGATAATATCAACAATATCATCCATGAAAAAAAGCAAAAGGTCATTACAAAAACAGAGGAGAAAGTGAAAATTTAAATGGATGTCAGAAGAGACTAAAGATTGCACTGGAGCTTTGAGAAGTCAAAACAAAAGGAAAACATGTTGAAGTGAAAGAGCTAAACAGAAGATTTCAAAGGGCAGCTTGAGAAAACAAAGTATTATAATGGAATGTGCAGAGAGCTGAAATTAGAGAATTAAAGGAGAAGAATTTGCTTTGCATTTCTCAAGCTGGAAGAACTGACAAACACATTTAGGTCTCATGCTACAATACTTAAAGACACTATTAGCAATATATTGAATGATCCTGAGTCATAAAAATAAGATGGAGAGAATACACAGAATCATTGTACCAGAAAGAATTGACACTGAAAAATTTAAGGAAATACAATATGAATAGGAGCTAATGGTAATCAAGGAGGTAGCAGAAGCTGCATTGAAGGCACTGACAAAAATAAGGCCTTGGATGCACTCACCAGTCTATGCTAGGAAATTTGAAGGACAGCTGTCTGACCAAAGAATTGGAAGAAGTCCATATTTGTTCCCATTCCCAAGAAAAGTGATCCAAATGAATGTGGAAACTATCAAACTATATCATAGATATCACAAGCAAGTAAAATATTGCTGAAGAGCATTCAAAAATGGCTAGACCAGTACATTGATAGGGAACTGCAAGAAGTTCAAGCAGGATTTAGAAGAGGCCGTGGCACCAGAGATATCATTGCTGATGTCAGATGGATCCTGGCTGAGAGTAAAGAATACCAGAAGAATGTCTGGTTGTGCTTTATCGAGTATACAAAGGCATTTGACTATGTGGATCATAACAAGTTGTGGCTAACATTGAGGAGAATGGGAATCCAGGAGCATTTAATTGCACTCATATGGAATCTATACCAGGACCAGGAGGCTTGGATTATAGAGAGAGAAAAAAAGTAACTGGTTAACTAAAATTTCTCAGATTCCAACTGGATTCTAGACAGTAAACAGCACTGATAATGGTCAGGTCTCTAAGGGAGAAAAGAAACACCTGTTTTTCTCTGGGGAAAAAAGCACTGATTTGCATCCTTGCCAACTGCCACAGTGCAAATACATCCACTGTGGGTGAGTCAAGCTACTGAGAGATTCTCAGTAATGCTCCTATTTTTGTGGGGTGTCACCAATATTGTCTATGACTCACATCAATGTAAAACAGATCAAAACTTTGTCCAGTCCTATGTCATCTAACAACGTCCACCATATTCAAGCTCATTGTTTTATTCACTACGTCAATCCTACAGTCGGACCAGGAAGCAGTCTTTAGAACAGAGTTAGGAAACACTGCATGGTTCAAAATCAGGAAAGGAGTATGTTAGGGATGTGTCCTGTCTCCATACCTTTTTTTTTTCTTTAATTTAGGTTGTTTATTTTTCATTTCAATGGACATCTACAGAGATTTTGGGATTCCATTCATTCATTGTTGCACCCTTCTCCCCGCACAAACCCCTCCCCCCCCCCATTTGCTCCTCTCCTTGAAAAGCAAAACTCCCTCATTGGTACACAATCCCCCCCCCCCCCCCGCACCTCCCCAAACTCCACCCCCTACCCCCAAATACAATCCACTCTGCAACCCTCATTGCATACTCCTACGATAAAAATTTTAATCTATATGCAGATCATTCAGGAGGCTGGGATTTACGAGGAAGAATGTGGCATCAGGATTAGAGGAAGACTCATCAAACTACATTCTGCAGATGACACAACCTTGCTTGCTGAACCTGAGGAGGACCTGAATCATTTGATCAGAAGGTCAAGGACTACAGTCTTCAATATAGAATGAAGTTCAACATCAAGATGACAAAGATTCTCACCACTGGTACAACTGGAAGCACCATGATAGATTAAGGTTGTTAACAATTATAGCTTGCTCAGCTCCGCAATCAACACTCTTGGCACCAGCAGTCAGGAAATCAAAAGATGAACTGCATTAGGTAAGCTTGCTGTCAGGGACCATCCCAGATTATTGAAAAGCAATGATGTCAGTCTGGATACTAAGGTGGGCCTAACCCAGGCCATGGTCTTTGCTATTACTTGCTATGCATCAGAGAGCTGAACAATGACTAAGAGTGACAGAAGAATTTTTGCCTTTGAGTTGTGGTATTGGAGAAGAGTCTTGAACATAACACGGGACCACCAAGAAAACAAATAGGAGTACTGAGTGAGCCGAGTGCAGAGAGAGCTGAGTGCACGAAGATGGAATTTGAGAAATACTACTAAAATAATTAGTATGGGAGCCCCAGCAGGGAGCAGGGAGCCCCAGAAAGGAGTCGTGGCGGGACCCACCCACCAGGAGAAGGAATTTGAGTGAAGTACTTAGTGAGGGGATCACTGCTTTTTGCTGGACCAATTGTGAGACCCCTTCACCTTAAGCAGGAGGGAGTGAGACAGCTGGAGCCTGACTGAGGTGGCAGACCCAGTTAGTTCTCAAGAGGAAAAGTAAGGCTTCCTAGTTTTCCATTCAGGTGCCCCTCACCTAGACTCAGCCCTACCACATGAGCCTCCGTGAGTGGCCCCCCAGACCCCCTGTATGTCTATGCGTGTGCCCACCCTACATGCATCTGCACATACACCTATCCCTTGTGCATTTGTGTGTGCACCATCCCTACATGCATCCACGCGTACAGCCACCCTATGTGCATACATGCACGTGCCTACCCAATCTTGTTCTGGAGCAGTGACATCAGATCAAGAACCTATCATCACCTCAGGCATGGTACGGCCACCCTATGTGCATACATGCACGTGCCTACCCAATCTTGTTCTGGAGCAGTGACATCAGATCAAGAACCTATCATCACCTCAGGCATGAAAAGCTCTACCACAGCAATGCGACAAAAGACACAGACTACCTCACTTCCTACACAAGCTCAAAGCAAGATATCACCCCCACCCCAAAAAAAATGACAGAGTATCAATGGATTTCCTGAAGTCAGAAAGTCAGATGGAACTTTCTGGCACATCATTTAAAAGAACAATCATTGACTATTTTCAATGTGTGATAGACAAATTGAAGAATTATAGGACACTGCAAGAAAAAACCAGGAGGAACTTAAAAAAAACAATACAAAACAATGCAGATAAAACTAATGAGGCATTAGAGGCAATGTAAAAACAAGAAACCACTATCCAAAATATGAGGTCCAATGTTTCAGATGCTATCAACATGATGGAGGGACACATGAACAGAGTTGAAGAGATGGAACACAGAACCAGTG